ACGACTGCATAATGCTGTTCGAAATTGATGTAATGGTTCTAGCTTTGTCGGTTTCTAAAAAACCTTCACGAAATGCAAGTGTACTGCTTTTTTTCCGCTTTGTTTTCGTTCATGTTCTGTAACCTGCAACTAACAGAATACGATCCATGAATATTTTGATCCTGATCGCAGGGTATGGAATATTTAGATCATCTTACTAACTTACTAATAAACGCTTGATGTTTTTACAGCACTGTGATAAGTACATAGTGCTTGATAGTACATACATGAAATAAACATCAGCCAGATTCGCGGTTGTAATCTCGAGCATCAGGTGTCACTAAAAATGAGGTTCTCATCGGCTCTCTAGTGAGTGTTGTTTTAGTTGATTTCTATCTGGACTACCATTAATTAAAAGCCCAGCATAACTATGTCGTTATTCTACGTCAGATTTGTGAATGAAACCTTCGTTTCATTCCACAGAAGATGATATGCAGGAACTGCTGAAAACTTTCGGACAATGAGAGGAGAGTAACGATCAAATAAAATTCTAAATAATTTCTTGTGTGCTAGTAAAGACGAGACAGCCGCTTGAATCTGCAGTTTCTGTTAATTTCAAACCAACTCACTCAAGCAGATGGTTACACTTGTTTTGTCTTGTCTTGTTTTACACTTTTGTTACTACAGATGTTTTCAGCCAAACCCGTTCAAGAAACACAGAGGAACATGCATTTACATACGTAGGAAACATGCAACATGCCTCATCTGCTACTTACTTTAAATCGATTATTTTTGCATATGCACGTAAAGCAGTTTGCTGCCTGCACGATGTGTGTGTGCCCGATTTTGTGCCCCGACGATGCTATGGTAGGCGTAGCGAACATCACTGGCAAAAAAGTGTGTAAGATCTGCGTTTTTTTGTGCCCTCAAACTTTAATCAATAAATAATCTGAAATAACAGTTATTTTATTGAACGCATCACAATTTGTCGTCTGCTAATTTTGTCATTAGTTATAAAGAAAAAATCGTTTGACTTCGTATGTGATATTTGCTTATGCTTTAACAAGCCAAGTTTTCAATCGAATCCATCTACTTTTCTTAATCATAAAATAAGTTAGTAGTAATAAGTTTTCTTAACCATGGGTAGAGTCTGGTTTATCAGCTGATACACTAGATCACTGAACCATA